ACACAAATGTGTTTCCCAGCAGTGAGCACACTCTCCTGTGATGTGGGAAGCAATATTAATTGAAGTGAGATCTTGCAGCCTGACTCTACCACATCCCAGGGAAATGCCCTAGCCCTTGGGCATTGAGTTAATCTCTCATTAGCCATCCCTCTGGTCTCTTGAATAAATTATTTATGAAAAGCAGAAAAACTTCAATAGGAAAAAGTGAAAAGAGATTTACCATGGAGTTGCTGGTAAAAAAGCCAATTCTTCAGAAGGTGATATATGTTTAAAAAAGAAAAAAAAAAGCTAATTTAGATAACAAATCAATTTGCACTTCGGGGGCAAGTACACAGTAAAGCTAGCCAGATGCTATCCTATATGGGGGAAAAATTAATTATCTCAGTACCAAGCAGAACAAAAATACATACATAGGGTTTCTCCTGACAAAATGAAGAGAATATTCCTCAGTCTGAGGTACCTCATCCATGTCTCAACCCCAGGCTACCTCACCTTAAAGAGCATGGTTTATTTGACCAAGAGCCCCACCTGGAGCAGGGCTGACAGCTGAAAATCCTAACTAGAAAGTGACTTCCCTTTTGAGGTACTGTCAGATGCCTATTTTGAGGAACACGGTTTTAATCTGTACCTTGCTCCCCTACATTGGCCCTAACCAAATCTGACAACAGTTTCCTGAATTCCACAGCTCCTTGGCTGCACTTCCATTTCTAGCTTTACACTATACAAAAGCAGAACAAATAATTTCAGTATGTGACTAGTACACTGATTTGTCTGACAAGGCTATTCCCCATAGCTGGGATGCCCAACATCAAGCTGCACAGTGCCTCTCTCTGCATGGTTCAAAACCTAGAATTCCTTCAGAAGGCTGTACACCCACTTTTATGCTCCACAGGAAAAATTCAGAGCTCATCACTTTTATTCAAAATGCCAGTGAGCTGAGGAAGAGGACAATGAAAGATCTCACATGAAAATACCTTATGACGCTCTATGGGAAGGGCAGATCCACTGTGGGCATAAATCGCTGTTAACTTCAGGAACTGCCATGGCTTACAACAATCCTCACTAGTGCTATGTAGCCAGAAAGCGACATTTTTTCTCATGATCTTTTTGAAGAGTATTTCTATATGTAGGCAAACACAATCCAAAGGATGACTCAAGCTCCTACAAGACAGAGGAACTTTGGACTCAAGCACAAACCTACAAGGACACCGCTGGAGTTTTCTCTAACATGATAGTAACTGCCTGACTTGATTCTGTGTACATACAGTGCTGTTCTTACGTGTGTTTGAACAATCATATACCCAAGGAAAACAGCTGGCCAAAACACTAATTCTGGGCCTGCAACTGTAAATGTGTACAGTGCCTCTGAGCACAGGCAGATGACATCTGAGTCTGTGACTCCTCCCTTCTTCTGTGACCGTCTTCTTCAGATGTGTAACCTGTGTTGGTTTACAACAATATTTACTGAGCATTTTGTTTAGATTTCAGCCCCCAAATTAATCCCTTTCCGATGTCTTGCAGATTTCGAGTGGTTTGTAAACCTGCTAGAACAACAGTGGTTTACAACTCAATGGGGTGAAGGTTGAATGGATAAAATCAAACCAGCACAATAAACTGTGATATAAATCACCTATCTAAATTTATCTCAATTTATGTCTAACTGATGAAGACTTAACTGTCTTAGCTCTAGCAATGGGATCCAAATTATCTCCACATAAGTAGCATAGTTTTGACATGAACTAAATCAATTCTGTAACTTAAGCATTCATGAATATTTAAAAATAATCATTCGTTGTATGAAAAAATTCTTTCTGTTTCTTATCTGTAGAGAAAAGCAGTAACTGTGAAAAACTAAATGAATGAAAAAACCTCTTACTGTATATTCGACCTTGGACAGAGGATTTATGTTAAAATATCAATGCCTATTCTAGGAGCATACCTGTTTGAAAAGAGATTTTAAGTTCTCAGTCTTCAAAGCCCAGATTGTCCTTTATTAATACTACATGAACACACAAAAAAATGCATCAAGGAATCTTATTTGGAGTACAGTTCATGTAGGGATGTGGGGGACATGATACAACTTCACAAAAAGTACCTGTAAGACCACCCCAAGCCTTCCAATTACAGCATGATGCCCCATATTGCGTAATGCAAGTGTCCAAACTAGCTTCAGTTTTCACAGTGCAACAAATGTTTTGCAATAATAAACGAAGTATTTATGTTTTCTGCATTTAGATTCTTCTCTTATTTAGAAAGACTTTTTTTGTTAGATTTGGGTTAAGTTCAGCGAGCAAGCTCAGGGAATTCATGGAAGATGGAAACTAATGTTATTATTATAAGATATAGCACCAATTAGGAAGTGGGAAAAAGGAGTTTCTTTTCTTTTTCCAGCTAGTGAATTAAAAAATGTTGCACAAGGAGAAGGCCTACTCAGCATAAAACCATTAAGATTAAGGCCTAGATTTTGGAAATAATTGCCAGTTTTAGAGGAGTGGTGGAATTTTCAAAAAAGCAATCAGGCATCTAACTCTCTTAGCTTTTACACACTTGACTGTTTAATAGGGTTTTCAGCAGACCTAAATGCTTTTGAAACAATTAGTCAAATAATTGAAAATATTTAGTATTTCCTCTGGTTAGCAAGTCAGTTTTTAAATGCAAAATGTGTTTTTAATAAACATAGGGCCTGTCTCTCAGGTCAGGTGCAGACAATCATGCTTGCACTGAGCTTATGCTCTCAGTAGGCTGAACCCACGCCAGACTCTGTACAGATGCCATAGAAACTACAGTTTCAAGTTCATTTTAAGACAGTGCTGCGGCCAAAAGAAACAATCCCTGCCCTCAACAGGCCCCAAACACTCATCCCTAACCACCACATTACCACCTCCCCTCTGCCAGCATAATGAACTAAATCACTGATCTTGTTTAGGTTAAAACTAACTTCCTTTTTCTTGGCCAGATTAGGTTTGATCCTGGTCCAGCTCACTCTGTTGCTGCACAGACACTTGTGCAAGGAGAGGAAGTAGCAAGAAGGGCAAGTCTACTTCATTTGGTGGCAATGCTGGTCTCTGTCAAACCACAGCACATGAGCAAACATATCGTTATTTCTTCTTTACAATACTCATCACATTTAAGGTACATCTATTCAATTATATGTAATTTTGTAATTCTGTTTTGTACATTTTAATTAAATACCGTTTTTCACGTAAATATAGCATGACTCAGAAACGAAAATGAAATTAAGTAGTAAGACCTGTCACTTGTAAACTAAGCCAGCAAAAATTCAGAATGTGAAAGAATGTTTTTCAGGTTTATTTCTTATGTATAAAAAGAAATAATTAATTCATTGTAAAGCTCTCAGCTGTTCACAAATGATTTTACTTATTCCAACTCAGGAGAACTTTCTTTGTGAAAATAATATTCAAAAAGTATTTTAAAAAGGTAAAAAAATCAGTTCCTCTGCTTTGGTGCAAGCTCTTTGAACCCTTGCTTTTCCTCTTCTGCACCTTCTCTCACTGTTGGACTTAACACACCTCCTCCATACACATTCCTGTTCTGCCTTTCCAACTGAGGTGTCCAGAAGTGAAGCAAAGAAAGAATAAGAGATGTGTTCTGCAGCATGTATTTCTAGGGGTGTCCAAATTTTCATGTGTTTTCCCTTCCACCCCTCTGCCTGGGTAAAAGCTTATCCTGGACCAGTCAGCCAGAGGGACATCTGGTTTTGTGCAGATCCAAGGAAAGTGTTCAAGGAACATGCAGCACTTTGCGCTCTGAGAAGTGACCTTCCTATCACACCCTGCACTTCTGGCACTGTTGGAGATACCAGTTCTCTGTGATCCTGTGTGAGGTGGCTCAAGTTGATCTAAACATGATAAAAGGACAGGATTTCCTCTCCCGCTTCCCAGCGGCGGGTGCTGAGGCTGGGCTGGTAGAGCAGTGGAGTAATTCATAGAATCACAGAATTGTTAGCACTGGACAGGACCTCTGGAGACCATCTAGTCCAAGGCAGAACCACAGGAACACATCCAGGTGGGTTTGGAATGTCTCCAGAGAGGGAGACTCCATGACCTCCCTGGGTACGATGTTCCAGTGCTGACACCCTGAACGTAAAGTGCTTCCTCATGTTGAGTTGGAACTTCTTTTTAGTTTATGGCCATTGCTCCTCGTCCTGGGTACCACCAATAAGAGTCCTGGCACCATCATTTCGACACCTGCCTTTGAGATATTTATATGCATTGAGATCCCCTCTCAGTCTTCTCTAGACCGAACAGGCCCAGCTCCCCCAGTCTCTCCTTATGAGAGATGCTGCAAACCCTTCCTTGTGGATGTAAGCAAAGAGCTGGCCAGCAACGGGCTCAGGATGTGAACCATCCGCAGCAAGGCAAAGCCCGAGGCGTGAGGTGAACCACACAACCATCACGGGGTGAAGGCCACAGCGCCAGCCCCGGGCGGGCAGTGGGCACAGGGGGCACCGCACCGCAGCGACCCCGCGGTCTCTCGGAGTGCCCACCTCCAGCCCCACCTCGGGGCGGGCCGCGGGGGTGCCGGGGGCAGCGCGGCCGCCCGCGGGGCGCTGCGGGCGGAGCGGGGCGGGCGGCGCCATGAGGCGACACCGCCGCCCCAAAATGGCGCAGGCGGGGGGTGACGGGCACCGGCGGGGGCGGGGAGGGAGGGGGGGACGGCGGGAGCCGGCGGCGCCACTCACCTGCCGGTAAGAGAGGCGGAAAGGCCGCAGGTACAGAGAGGAGGTGCAGGGCTGGAGCGCCAGCTCCTCGATGGCCTCCATCCCTGCCGGGGGAGGAGGGGGAGGAGGAGGAGGAAGGGGAGGAAGGGGGGAGGCGCGCGCAGCCGCCGGCGGCCGGGCCGGGCAGGGCAGGGCCGGGCCGGGAGCGGCCCCGGGGCGCAGGAGGAACTGTTGTGCCCTCTGGCAGAGCCGGGATCGGTGAATGCTGCGTTTCTCCCCCAGAACGGGGACACGGGGGCCCCGTCGCCTTTGTTCACACAGCCACAGAATCGTCAAGGTTGGAAGAAACCGCTAAGATCAAGTCCAAGCGTCAGTCGAGCCCTGCCCCTGTAACCCCCAAAGCACCAAACCACATCACCCAGCGCCAGGTCCAGACGCCTCTTAAACACCACCAGGGATGGTGAGTCTGGCACCACCTTGGGCAACCTATTCCAGTGCCTGACCACCCGAACAGTGAACAGTTTTTTTCTGATATCTAATCTGAATGTCCCCGGTGTCAGCTTAAGCCCATTTCCTCTCGTCCTTTCACTGCAGGCACGGCAGAAGAGCCCGGCCCCCACCGTGCTCTAACCTGCCTTCAGGTAGTTGCATCACTCCGCAGACACTCCGATTTGCGATGCTGTTTGCTCAAAAGTTTGGCACATGTTCTCGGGGTCAGTTATTTCCACACGTTGCACCAAAATTGATGGGTTGCTCCTGAACTGAACTGAAACCAGCCTCCAAAGCCTGGATGCCACCTGGGTGCTCCCTTTTTGTCACAAGTTATCCCGATCCTGATTATACATCAGGCTTGCTGCACAGTCACTTATGCCGGCCTGTGTGGTGCTTCCGTGCCAGAATGGGGGTTGTATGAGTGGCGTGGAAAATGCAGGTGTGAATTCATTGCTAACCTGCAGCGCATCACTCGGTGCTTCTTCCAGCTTTCCCTTTCAGGGCCAGCTTCCAGTCATGGCCACACACCCAGCCCGTGGCAGAAGAATAAATGCTGCTCAGTTAAATTCTTTTGTCCATTTTCAACCAAGTTACAGAATAATTATCCTCTCTCTCTTTACTTCATTTTTGTCTTAAATAAATCACTATTAGATTTAGCAGTTTTCTGATTTTTATAGGAGTTTGATCACTAATGTTAACATTAGGTTAGATTACCCTTGTTGTTTTAATGTTTCTAATATTGATTTTGTAGGTTCATGAGCAACAGAGCTCACTATTTGTAGTGGTCATTAGCTCTGATTTGTGATCACTTTCCATGCAGATATTCCTGTGGTTGGTATTTTGGTTGGTATATAAATCAAATTATTTTGTCAATGTATTGACTCTGCTAAAACTAATCTGAAATTTCTTGCGTCTGTTTCTTTTTTTGTCTTCTAATGTACTTCCACTTCATCACTAAGAAAGTTTATTATTTAGTCCCGTGGTAGTAAGAATCCCAGCAGTCTGGCTAAAAGGAACAGACCAAGCAATTACAAAACTCACTAAGAAGTAAATGAGGCAGCACTTACATTGCAGAATGCTTACCATCAGTTCTGATAACGCAAGTGGCTAAAAAATGTTTGGTGGGGCAGAAAAGTGTGGTTTTAAAAGTATGTTTGCAAAGCTATCGTAAAAAGTAGGCAAGGAAATGTATTTTATTAGCTGACTTTGAAAATATTTGCGTAACTCTGCATCAGTGTATATGTCCATATATTTCTGCTTTTTTCAGAACGATCTCGAGGTCATTCAGAGCTCCTGGGAACTTAAGCTATATTTTTCTAGTAAGTTATTTCAGTCTTGTAAGTCCAATTTAAGTATAAACACAGTTTCCATGCTCAGCAGGTTTACAGTATCTCTGTTTGCTTATGTTAAAAGTTACCGGCTACCCAGGTCGGTTCAGCCAGTCAGATTGCCCTCTTCAATAAACATTCTGACACCGCTTTCAGGTTTTGAGTGTGTGCGTGTTTTGGGGAACGTGTCATACTGTGTGATGGATTGCTTATTCCATTCCTAGCCTTAGGTGGGAAGCTTTTGGGGTTGTGATGTGTCACAGACCCTGATCTCGTTAATGTACCTGGAACAGTCGAGCGCATTGTCGTGGCAAAACACATTTTGGGGTGCTCTGGTGTTGCAATTTAGACTTGGTGATGGAAAATCTTCTTTGTGAATATACCAGCTGAACTAAGGGTTTAACAGGCTGAGAACGAGTAGCTACCTCGGTGTTCCCATTTTACAGGTGAAATCTGAGTGAGAAAATAAATAGGAAAAACATGTCCTGCATAGTGGGACTAGCATTCACCCTCTGGACCTGAATTTTATTACAGTTCTTTATTAAGGCCTAGCTAACCTGTGCAGCAAGTGACTTTGCATTTGGTAGTCCAAGAACAATCCCAAGAAGGAAATTCCACTAATCCTCACTTATTCAGATGGATAGTAATGAAGGGGAAAAACTTCTGGATGGGTGAAATGCACTCCTGCTTTTCTGTTCCCTTTCACTGTTTTTGTGGTTTGCCTGTGCTGACTGGAATGGGGCTTCACAGCAGTAATTATGAGATGATACAATGCAGAGATGCTGCTCAGCTGCTCAACTAGGGTTGGGAGAGCTCTGTTCCCACGTAAAGTCCCACCAGGGGATGTGCCCACCATATACACACCACTTTTTCTGGAGTAACTTGATTCCAAAGGAAATGGAGAGACCAGGTATGTTTGCTCAGTCAGAGCGCTGCCCCAGCTACTCTGTTGGGTGTTACTTGACATCCCTGTGTGTCTGCTCCTTTTAAAAGTAGCAGTACTACTGGTGGTGTTCCTCCAGAAACTTGGGAAAACAGGCATCCGTAATTCCAGTGTCCAAGGACTCTGTTCATGTCTGTTACTTTCGATGAGATGGTTATGATACTTAAGTTCAAGCCCACATTTAATTGCTTGCAAAGTCTCTTGGGTTTGATTAGCACCACTCCATTACGTATCATTTACATTTCTATGATACTGTCCCTAAATCATCAGTTCCCAAACTTCTTACATCCTGGACTACTCTTGGCTGTCACAGTTTCTTTGCAGAGTGCTATCCAGGTTTACCATTGTGCTCCTGATTGAAATAGCTACTGCTGATATCCGTCCACAAACCAACTGCCTCATACCATCACATCTTCCTTGTTAAGTGATACTGTTAATTTGACTCCCAGAAACTAGGAATGTGTTAGAATGACAGGTTGAATTTCATTACATTAAATATTCCCTTATCCCCCTTAACAGTGGCTTCTGTATTGTATGTTGTTTTCTTGCCTTTTAAAATAACACACATAAGGATGTACACGCTGCTGTGAGTGGTTTCCTCATGAGTTCTTTAGTTTCCTGGTGCTGCTGGTCTCCTCTTGTAAAATACTGAAATCTAGATGTTTCACCCACACAGGCTCTAAAGGCTCTGAGAACTGTTTGTGTAACAGTGTGATAAACAACCTAATAAAGAAAGCAAAAACCTGAGTAGAAGTTTGTTTCTTTCCTGGAAAGGAAGATCAGCGGAGTACGTCAGCAAGCAGAGAGAGAAAAAAGGGGAAATGTCCTGTCTGGAGCTGAAGAGTCTTAAGGGAAGATTCATAGGGATTTCTTACGAAAAATGAAATGTTAACATTGGCGTTAAAAAGGAGTTCTTTCTGCAGGGTAAAGTTCTTTGTTTAACAGCCTTCTCTTCAAAGCAGTGTTTGCCCTGTGTTACTTCGTGAGTTACTTTTATTACCAGCAAAGTACCCAAACATTTTCTTTTGCATTGCTCTTTTAAAAAAATCCCCTTGAGCTTGAAGTTTCCGCCGTCACAATCCTTCCCTTCCCCTTGCAGTCACACAGTCCTTGGGCACACACTCTGCAGAGGGTCAGGTTGCATCCTCATTAGCGGTTTGTTTTATTGCTGTTTGCTTTGGGACACAACCGGGAATGTTTCCGTCGAGAGCCCGGTGCTACTGCCCTTCTGCTCGCTGTGGCTCCTGGAGCCAAGCACGCCCTCCCACCTCCGAGTGCATGCAGGTTTGCCGTGGCTGGACACCCAGGAATGTCCCTTGCAGTACTTCCCTCTTGCCACTGGAGCTCAGCGAGGTGCCTGAGCCGTTGAGTTCATTCATGCACAGTTAGGCAGCACGTTTTCTATAGCGATTTTTGTGTGAGAGAGTGTCTGCATGTGCTTTTAATCTCCATCAATCCCTGCCTGGTCACTTTGCTCTTTGACGTGCCAAGGCTCATGAACAAAGAATCATCAGGTCCTGTGCGTTTCATATCTCCAGAGGACTCCTCGAGATATTGCAGAGTATCATTACTTTCTTACGTATTTTGACAGTTGTGAGTAGTTACAGTAATAGTAACAGTAGTTACTAGGATACTACAAATATGGAAGCCTCAGGAACTAGAGGCACACTGACTTGCAATTTTCAGCTTTCGTTTTTAAAAAGCAATTTCTAACCCTCATGGCTGCAGGAAGGAAGAAAAAAAATCCAGGAAATGGAACAATGACAAACCTGTGGTTTGTGAGCTGTTAAGCACAGATCCTGTGCCAAGGTGATGCCACATATTTGGTAGAAAGGCTTTGCTGTTGGGGTGACAGAAAACCTGAATCCCCAGCTCTGGGTAGCACAGGCTACTGAAGCCGAGGGGCACTGGCTGACCCAGGATCCAGCTATGTGCCCAGTTCAGCCTGTCCAGCAGCAGATGGCTTGGGATGCCAGCAGAGCCATTTTCCGCTGCCTGGAAGCTTCTTCCAGAACTTCCTCATGAGCTCCCATGTGTAGTTTTTGTTCAGGTCACATAGGGTATCAGGAAGGTTGGACACCTTTGCTGTACAGTCGTAGAGAGAAAGGTGGGTGAAAGTGTCCAAAATTCAGTATATTTTGTAAACTCAGGTTGGAAATCCTTACGGTTGACAGCATGAAATCTTATCCTCTTCATGTGGGTCATCCTTGCATTGCCACAGAGATGTTAGTTTTGAGTACCTTTCTTAGGATCAGATGCATGTTCTTTTCATAATCAAGTGGCTGTTGTGAAGTTTGCCTTCTAAGGTTTACCCCTTAGGCTCCTGTGGAAAAGCAAGCCTGAAGCTGCCAATATCTAACTTTTAATTATTATTCAGTTCTGGGATATAACCACCCTGGTTACATTCATGAAAGTCAGGAATCGTGCTTATGCAATTCTTTTGGCATTGTAAATAGAGACCTAGAGAAATTTGTTTTGATTTTAGTAGTAACTTTTCTGAGAGACGCCTTTTTTTTTTTTTTAAATAAATTATTTACATTTCAATTACCAAATATAAAGTTAGAGGTCTGTACTGCAGCACATAACATTATGTGGCAGCAATTTTGTTCACCATCAGTTGGTCCAGAGCTGCTTTAATCCCACAAATAGCCTGAGTCTGAAGAAGTTGGAGCAATTATTCATGTATGGATTTGCAGAACTGGGTTTGTAAGGACTGACAGCAGGAGCAAGACAGGCATGGTGTGTTTTATCACTGGTGTGCACCACAGTGAGTTAGAGAAATATTTCAGTTTGTTTCTCTTAGATGTTTTCATTAGCTCCTCCTTGTTTTCAGAAACCCAAAGTGTGTCTCTCTTAATGAGATCAACCATCTTGGTCTTTACTTTGTGAAGTTAAGTACTGTGTCCTGGCTGTGGTAGGAAACTCACCTGTGTCTTGTAGAGTAGTGTGATTTCCCAGAAGAACTGAAATGTATCCATGTACCTTGTGAAATGAGGGTCTGATAAAAAGCTCTTTTTTTAGTGCATATCATCATTAAAAGCCTTGAACTAAATATGGTAAGGAAAAAAAGTTTTAAACATTCAGTATAAATATAGATATGTATATCATGACATGTAAAATTGATCTATCTAAAAATAGTGGAGGGAAAAAGCTCTTCAACATAAATATGCAACTAATATGTCAAATAGTCCTTAAGATATTCACAATGTTAATATGACAAGTTGCAATATGGCATAAAATAGAGGGAGGTGGGTGAGAACTTGGAAAGTCAATTCTCATTTCTAGCTTTTCATCTGGGGGAAGAACAAACACATAGCCTGTGAAAAAAATAGGAAACAATATGCATGCAAAATTTAGATACTTTTATATTATTTTAATTACTATCCACCAAATGTTGCCTACAGCTAGCAGAGTGAAAATGATTAGAGGGAAGGCTTTGATTTTTCAATGAAGTTTTCTCTAATGAGGGAAAAAAGAAAATGATAACACTGTGTTGTTTGTATTACAGAACCATGTACAACTAATATCTGGATCTCATTATGCTGGAAACTGTTCAAATACAGGTAGAAAAATGGTGTCTTTCACCAAAAAAAGCAGCAAACTAATTCATACAAAAGAACAAACAAGATGAACGTACGGTAATAAGGAACAGCTGAAGGAGAGGAAAAGATCAAGGAGAATCTTCTTTTGTTTGCCACATATGTATGCAATAGAGCTGGAAGGAGAAAAGTATTTTGATTTCTTAGGGAACCTTGATGTTCCAATAGTTTGAAATTGCCTGTAAAAGAGACTGGAGCCCGAGCTGTTGGATACTTGAATGTTGGCCATGGCTCTAGCCGTGACCCTGGTATCTCTGAGCTCCCCAGTCACCACGACACTGTGCTATGCCTGGTAGCCTGCCCTGGACTGTGGGCATCATAAGCCCAAGGGTCCTTAATCTTCAGGCAGTTTTGTTGAAGCTGTAGGAACTGGAAGCCCTGGTCCTCAGGAGAGTACCAGCTGGGCTGCTCAGAAGCTGGGGCTGGCAAAGCTCCAGTGGAAGCTTGCCTGTTTTCCGAAGGAATTTAATTGAATACTTGTCTAGATGAAATCTTTCTGTTTGGTAAATTGAGACATTCCAAAGGAAAAGTATAGTCAGAGGGGTTTTATTCTACCAGATGTAGGGAGCAGGTATCTGGCTTCTATTTTGACATATGTAAATATAAATATTTGTATGTGTGATTTGTGTGATAGAAAGGTAAAGAGACACAACTGGCCATTTTCCTGCCTCCTCTTCATTAGGCATACTATATCATTTTCGTGTTTATTTCTGTTGCACCAGTACTTTGGAATCCAGAACTTTATTGTGCTCATCATCGATATCAAATCACAGAACAAACCAGCCTAAATGCTTTAGTGAGATTTGTTAGAAGTGAGTCAGAGGAGAGCTCAGAGGAAGGACAGGGTAAATGCTCCACGAGTTACTTTGAGGGGTTGTAACTTTTCATCAAAAAGCATGTGATTGAAGGACGGCACAGACAATGATTCTGGGAGCGCTACGGCAGTGCGGGATATGGGCTGGAGATACAGAGAAGCAGGATTTCATTATCAGTGACTGGAAGTCAGGAAGCAATATTAAGGGTTGGACTGATTGAGCTGAGGTGATTGAGCAAGTAACCTGCAAGAGGCTGAGCTGATCTGTTGTTGAGAGCTCAATGGAATGTTAGTGTTTGGGTCTGTAAAAGACTGGTCTCCAAGAGATTGGGTCTCCATAAAAATCAAAGTTCTGAAAAACAAAATCTTAGGCATTTTATACTGGAGTCTCAAAACTGTTGGCATTGACATTTTCCTGTCTTATCAATACTTGACTTTGAAACCTTGACAATTTTTTTTTTTTAATAAATGTTCTGCGTTTATTATTTTGCACTGTGTTCTTGGAGGCTGCAGTGAAGGTTTCCAGAGCATTTCAATTGCAGATGTGGGCATTAGTATGCTCACAGTAAAACTGAGCCCAGGGATATCCAACCATAATCTCTCGTGGAGCAGCCTATTCTCACTTGATTTTTGCAATGCTCCCTCTCTTAATGCCTCTTCCTTGCCTGCAGCCACTTCATTAGGAAGCGTGCAGAGTGGAAGAGGTGGATGTGTTTAATGTTGACAAGAATCAAAACCAAAGGAAAGACACTGTTTGTTTGGCCACCTGCTTGTGCGTGAGGGTGTTGTACCCCAGCTGAGCAAGGACAAGGCATGGGGTGTTAAGCGTATGAAGTTGGTTCGTGCTGTGCAGAGCATGTCATTGCTTTCCAGTTGATAGGGAGCTACTCAGTGCATTGCCTTTTTGCCTAGACCAAATCCTAGATTCTCATAACTATGCAAACTGTATGAACAAAATGCCCTCCTCCATCAAGATCAGGAATTATATATTGTTTTAACCATAGTGTTCTACAACAAAAACTATAGTTCTCTACTTGGTATTTTAAAGATATGAAATCCGTGCATGCTAACATATCAGCATGAGAGATTGTCCAGACTTAGAGCCAATTTTTGGCAGAGACAATAGAACAGACTCACAAACAGGTGGTTCTCATCACTGGTTGCATAATGCTATGTGTATGCATGTTAGCCCTTGCCTAATGCCCTGAAGCTGGAGAGAAGGCAGTTCTCTCTGGACATGGATTGGGATGTATTTGCTGGAGAGGGTAACTAAGCACTTCCTTCACTGAGGCTTCCCACTTGGTACCTGTAAAAATATCTCTAGGCAAGCAGGTGAACCAATAGCACGTAATCTGTCACTGCTAAGGACAGCATTGCTGTTCTGGGAAAGGGAGATATGTTTAGAGTGAACATGGATGTTCTGTTCTTCATTCATGTGTGTCTAAATTTTAATCTCTTTCAGTGTGCCGTAAATCCAAAATAACTAACCAAAGTCAGTGCAGTTCCTGGGGATTTGTGCTACTGTAAATGAGAACAGAATGGTAAATTTTTTTCTCCCTCTCTGTCCTACTAGTGAGAAGAAAAGCTAGATTTTCAGCCTGACTCTAGTTCTTTGCTTTGCTGACGCTGTCACAAAATGGACATCATTTAAACATTCTTTATTTTTTATATTTGGAATATAACAGAAGGAGAGCCTTGATGGCTTTTTATTTTACAGAAATATAAACATTACAGTAATTTTTCTTTTACACGTGTTAGGAAGCATAATTCACTTGAAAGGACCCTATTATATACTCAGTCCTGTATTTGTTTATCTAATTGAATAGAAGAGCATTTACTGCAGTTTCAAAGTTAAGCCAATAAACATTTGTCTTTGTATTGCAGCAGCGATGTTTGACAACTGGGTTGGGCAACACCCATTTTAACTTGGGTTTATTTTATGGTATTGACGAAGCTGAACTCCCAAGTACATTTTCCCTCCCTTGCTTTTGCACTGTTGCCACAAGTTGGGTATTTGGCAAAAGATGGTGAAAGCCTTTCATACAGGTTTCTCGTGTTACTTACGTTATCCTTGTTCCCATCATCATTAGGTCGTCTGACAACTCTACATTTTGTTTCCCATATCCCTGGTTACCCTTGTTGTGTGCAACAAGACATAGAGATACGAGCAGTGGGATTTTAAATGGATCTACGTTTATAATTCCAGTTAAAATCAAGAAGAAAGCAATGGAAAACAAACAGAAGCTTTTTCACTTATGTGCCATGCTCACACCAAAACATCTGTCCGTCAACTCTGCTTCCTTCAAGTCCAGGAACACCATGGTTATAGGAGTGCTTTGAAAGCCTTTATTTTCACTGCCAGTTAGAGGATGCTGTTGGCATTCCTAGACATGAAAATATTTGGGATTTCTGTATGCTGTGTTTTTTTCTTGTTTTTTTTTTTTTTTTTTTTCACTCTGTAAATTGCATTCTGGACTGTGCTGCCTGTATCAAATAGCTCCTGGAACATCCCTCCTAATCAGTTCCTTTTGGGATCAGGATCGTCAGGCTGGTTCTGAAGCCGTGCCAGTGCCGGCAATGCATGGGGACTACAGATGAGATCTTTGTTACAGAAGCATGAGATCAATTCACCATTCCGGGCCATGTAGTAAATGCATTCCTGACTGAATGTTACATCGTTTTTATTTTCCTGGGACAGCATTGCACTGTGTCTCCTCTCTGAAAGAGCTATGTTCATTAGATACAGGAAGTCCTGCTAATCATCCATAACGTTACATTAACAGCTGCTGGTGGGTCTTTTGAATGCCCAGTGATCAGGGGAGTTTGCAAGAGATTTGGTGCTTCTTTGCTGTGATTGTTTTCTTCAGCATGCTTCAGAATCCAAAGTTCTGTTAAAAAAAAGGCAGTTAATCCTTAGGGTTGTGAGGAAAACTTTTAAAACACGCACCAGATGGAAATCAATGCAGTAGGGTCTTGCAAGCAGACAGATAGGCTGAGAAGAAATCTGAAGGCTGATATTATTTGGATTGAAGGAAAAAGAGCTGCAAAGCAGTCGTGCAACTTAGATACCATCAATACAGTACAGGGAATATGCAAGTCTGAGGTGAGCTCTGTCTCATTTCACATCGTTGACAGCTTTGTTTTTGCCAGTGGCTCAAGATAAACCCAATTTTCTCTCCTGTTGATTTGTGCTCCCTTTCTTTTGTATAGACAACTTCCATTACTTCCTTTGGCAGTGCACACGATAGCTGACTCAGGAACAGAGCTGACTGGAAAAAAAAGATTTCCAGTCTATAGACAATAAATTTATGCTTCTGCCCTTGTTTTCTGCACATTTTTTTACAACAAGGAAAAAAAAAAAGAGCAAAAAACATGATTAATGAATGGTGAAATGTTTGATTTGAACTGTTTTGCATGTATGAAACCTTTCTGTTGGAGTGGATAAGGCTAGTGGCTTCTTTATGTGTAGTGAATTCTTTGGGAATCTGTCCTGGATGCCAGTGGTTACTCCTTAGCCCCAGCCTGGGATCTGTGACACTTCTCTGTAGATGAGATATAGCAGGATTTCTGCAGATTATTCTCCAAAGCAATCCATTGTTCATGTCACCAGGAGTCCTGCATGTCCAGCTCCAATCCAGTTTATGGGACAAACTCTCTGCTGACAGTGTTGCTGCTTTTAGTAGAGGAAATATTAATCCGACATCCTCCTGGTCATAGTAAAATAAATGGTAAAATAAATCCCAAGGTGTTTGGCAGGAAAAATACATAGTAAACCATGTCTTGTGCCCTTGAATCTAGATGATTCCCCAATGTCAGCAATGAACAGGGGATGCTGGAGCTGGGATATTCCATGTGCCACAGAGGTGATGTGGGCCAAAAGCACGTGAAAGCACATTCATTCCTGGTCCTTCCAACACAGGAAAATGCCCATAACCATAACCTACTCAGGAGTGAGAACTCTGACAAATGAATAGCACAGAGCTGACAGCAGCTGCTGGCTAAAACAGGTAGTATCTGTGGGTGCCATGGAGGGGAACTGCCCTAAGAGATGGCAAAGGTAAAACAGTAATAATCAAAGAAATGCCCATCTGATGGGTGTAGGTATTTGCATGCAGCACCTTGCAACACTCCAAGGTAGGTGCCTCGCAGCTCTAGGCTGTTGATACTCTGCAAGACCATACATGGTACTATTTGCTTTAATAGTAGCAATTAGTGGGCCAGTACAATAAACAGTGATTTCATGAAAACGAGGATTGATCCATTCACGGATGGATCTGAGACAAAGATTTAATCCCATGCTTGTCATCAGTCAATGCCCTCCTCAAGGTGTTCAGTGTCCAGTACATATTTTGCCAGCTATTACAACGAGATCCTTACAACAAATCATTTATTTTTGCACATTAGCTGCATTGCACAGGTACCCTGGGTTGTCAGTAATACCTGCTGTATGTTCTAGTGCAGGCAGGCAGAAGAGCAGGTCCCAGAATGTGCTCACTAAAAATCATTTTGTCCCTCATTTTGGCCTGATCCACCCTTGCGGGGAGGTACCATATGGCATTGCAATAGTCAGAATTAGCAGTAGGAAGCTACAGAAAGGCAGCTTTAAAAGAAAAATTCATTCACCATTGGAGCGCAACTTCCAAGGGAAACCATCTCATGGTTGGTGATGGTTAACAAGATATTTTTTGGTAGTTCATAGGCAAGTTGATATGTTCTACCAAGTCACAGCTGTTACGGACTGTGTGCTGCAAGGCAAATAGGGGGTTTATCTGGGGAGAAGTGCATGGTAGAAAACATTGGTTTCAATCCTCCACTGCCTCCTGTCTCCTCTTCCCTGGTGTTCCCAGCAGGGAGTCTCAGGAAGACAAACTGCAGGCACCTTTTGTGCCTGCAGCTCGGTGGCAACAGGGCTACTCCCTTTGTATTCGAGGTGATGTAGGGGAAAGAGGACTTAGGTTTCATGTTTCTGCCTCTTCACCCTTCATTTTACCCTCACCTCCCTTGATTTGGGGAGTTCTGTGCTGCTGGAAGAAAAGGATGGGAGATCTGACTTTAAAGGAGATGAATCCTAGAACAGAACAAGAGCCTTCAGGCTGTTATTTCTACCTGATCAGGGGAAATAAAGTAAGTCTCTGCTGTCACTGGATGCTACATCCAGACAGGATGAGATGTTTGAAGCCCTCAAGTGTTGTTAGTGTGTCCTGTCAGCCAACAACATGAAAAATGTAGCAGTCAGGCTCCAAGTCCTGGAAATTGGCCTTGATTTAATAAGGATTCACAATAAATAAGCATTTCAATTTCCCTCCACGATGAGTCTTTAAGGATTTGGGGCTTTTCTGTACAAACTTGGAGACTTGAAATGAATTATTTAGGTGAAAGATGAGTCTTATGATTATGATTTCTTGCCTTTGTATACTTAGACAACCACTCCTGTAGGATAAAGAAACATATCAGAAGACTTGCTTGGATATCCTTGAATATGGAAACAGCTGGTTTTTTAAGCTGGATGCTGTTGTACCAGAGAATGGGACTGCTGTGAATCCTGGGTTTAGCTGCAGAAGTAGTTTTAACAGGCGCCCACATGTGTTTAATAAAGCTAGATTTCCACCTTTCCAACTGCAGCTTTAGTCACAGCAGCATATTTTGTAGTTCCCACTCAAGCCAAGCTTTATGTGACAGTAATGGCAATGTTGTTGAAGCAGGGAGAGTCAAATCAAACACCCTGGCAATCAATCTCACAGTTCCCAGCTAGCAAACTGAGCTGGAAAGTGTTAAATCTCCTCCAGCAATGCTGTCTGGGAGACCTCCAATCATCTTTACCAAGTAAAGTGGATCCTCCAAATTAGGTCGTCTGTTTGCTTCATTCTGGAAGATTTTTATTAAAATGAAAAATATTTTCTGTTTCTTCTCCCAGAGAGAAAACAAACATTGGCATCTGGAGTGGTGGAAGAGAAACACTTGGAGCTGGGCAACTTGATTAAAGTGTATTCCTTGTAATGAGCGGTGCCTCCCTTATCCTGCCATTGTGTTCAGACAAGAAAAAAAAAAAAAGGAGGGCCTGCCCTTTCCCATTGTATAGTCACATTTTCCAAGTGCAGTAAAAATGGGTTTTATAAAAAGCCCTAAAAAATAAAATAAAATTAAAAAAAAAATATGAACTCTATCTTTTAGTAAACCACTGAAGCAACTCTTCAAGGAAAACAATCTTGTGCACCTTGTATATAGGAGAACTCTTGAAGTTAGTGCCCTATCTAACCTACCAGAGAAGGAAGATAATACTGATAAAAAAGGTTTGGGATAAATGCTATCTGAGCCTTCCTTAAAGGTTTGCTGCTAGAATCAAAGCTGAATTTTACTTGGGAACGGTAATAAAGGAAAAAGTGATTTGCAGCAGAAGACTCTGTTTGTACTGCTACATTTTTATCACTGCCATCACCAATACCAACATCTACAATTTATCTACCCATGTACATTAACCAGCAGTCCACTAATAGATTAACAGACCTTATTAGCTGTAATAGCCCAGTTCAGTCAGATTTAATGGGAGAATCACAGAGTCTTTACATCACACTTGCCATTACCCAGAAAGAGAGTTGCTTGTGGGCATTCACCTGTGTGCAAACTGGGCAGGAAAAATTAAAACACTGCATCATATGCTTGCATTTTGGAAACAGTAAAAAGAAATTGTATTCAGTAGACAGACTCAGGTATCCTCAAAAAAAAAAAAAAACCAAACCAGAAAAAAAAACCAACAAAGAAAACCTGAGTCTTAGGCTAAGCCATGTCCTCAGCTCTGTTTTGTGGCACTTCTATTTGTTTTAAAGACTCAGCATGGATTTTCCTTGGTGTCTTTATGTGCTGAGTTTTGCTGTATTGGTTCCACCACCACCAGACTCAGTAAACAAGGATGTGCCCAGGGAAAAACAGACATGGTTAAAAAGATCTGTGTTACCAGCCAAAATCTGGTTAGGTTAGTGTGGGCTTCTAGCAGCCAAAATAAAACAGTTGTGCAGGGCCAAGAATTTCAAGATAGAGAGGGCTGGAGGAATTCTAAATATGCTACAGAAGTGGAAGCAACAGGACTTGGCAAAATCCCTGGTCGAGATAGAGAAACAACGTGCCTCACTAGCCAAACAACAGGGTGGTGTTGAAAGAGAGAGTGCAATGGCAAAACCCTTGGGCAGAGAGAGGATATCCAGGAAGGAATGTTTGAGATTTGGGCCTGGATGGAGATTAAAAGTTAGCTCTAATGAAATACCCATTTGCTCAGATATTTGGTTCACTGTAAATATAAATTCTTGATCTAAAATTCTTCTTTAGTATGATCAAGGGATCTGAACTGACCAAGTAATCCTGAGATCCAACAAAAACACAGCATTCTTGAGTTATACATAGGTAAATATATATACCTCCACACTTAAAAATATGTGTGTACAAATGGAGATGCTTTTGACATTTTAAATAATAGAGACAAATATTTCATACTATTATAGTATTTTACAAGTGAAGAGCCTAATTTCCTTGTGCTTTGGTTCTGTATTGACACATTTGGGTTTAGATTTTCTTTCTTTTCTTCCCTATTTTAGGGATAATTGCATTCTCCTTAGCTGCTTCACTAATAGAAAGAAATTTATCTGTGGAAACTGCAGCAGAGAAGCTTAACATATAAATGCTTATGCCTTCTCTTGCCTATGGCAGGAGAATTAGCAAAGCGGTGCAGATATTTTTATAGTCCCCAATTACACACTAATGTGTATTGATTGAGAGGGAAGCAGTGCACATCCCAATTTCTCAGCACAAAAGAAATATGCAATCAGCCAACATGGCATTTTTGCTGTCTGTTTTTCTTTGTATTTAGCACCAACTCAAATATAAAAGGGAGGTATTTTCAGTTAATTAAAATTACACATTTTATCCAGGAACACATCAATAGATAGGCGTGTAAAAGGTAGAGATTCTATCTCACTCAAAGAGAACATGGGTTTGGTTCACTCTTACTCTTTGAATTTGTGTTTGTGGCTTATTACCATTGTAATCAACAAAATATAAATCTCCTTCTAGGCGCTTGCTTGTGCCTGACGGCTCCAAGGGAGCATTTTACAGCAGGACCCCTCCATCCAGACCCCTGGACTGCTCAGGGTCTTTTTGTCTTCTCGTGTTGGAGCTGTCAGAGCTCACAGATTTAACACTGGGGTTAGTCAGCAAAAACTAGCCCCATGTTGCCCTGCTGATGTCTGGCTCCCAGGGCCTGGGCAGCAGTAGGAGAAGAGTTGCACGTGCCCTGCAGGGCCTGGAGCCCGACGAAGGGCGGAGACACAGCTCGTGCCAAAATATGCAAAGAATTG